AAGTCAAAGAGCAGGATCTTCAGCATTTCATTGAACCTGGTTACTTTCACCCCAATTCGAAATCACTTCTAGATCCTTCACCTCCTGCAGCAGGTGAAGATGTGCCTCCGTAGCCGATATCCTGGAATCCAGATGAAATGACGAGACAAATGTGCTTTCGTCAGCAAAGCAATAAATTGGATTCTTGATTTTTTCCACTGAATCGTTGGTATACAATGAAAAGAGAGTTGGAGACAATATGGATCCCTGAAGAACACCAGCGTCAATGGTGAAAGTATTCGAGAAGTATCCACCGACAGCTACTTGCAGGGAAAGTTCTTTCAGGAAGCTGAAGTGCCATACACAAAAAGGAACCTACAAGCCATAGCATCGAAGTTTGGCCAGCAAACCCGCATGCCACACATGGTCAAAGGCTTCAGAAATATCAAGCGCAACAGCTCTTGATTTTTCAATCAGCTTTCAGTTTTTTTATTCATTCTGCAATCCATCCGAAGATTTGAAGTTCTATAACTTTTTGTTTACTGTGTTCGTATAGTTAGCTATTGTATCCTATGATTTGAAAAAGTAGGTGTATCAAACAAATCTTTCAGTCAGCATTAAATGTAATATCAAATGAACCCTATTCAGCTGTATTTTCCGCTTTTCCAAAGAGAAACTATTCTCTTGAAAGTGTTAAACTAACACTCACTCAAGAAGACGAATTCGCTTCCTGAATTCACAATGCAGACATCAAAGGGAATTCGTTATGTTATCGAAAGCTAAAATATCAACTCAAGCGTATCCGACCTTTGTTTTATCGTCGCTACTATTTAATTCCTTGAAGTAACTCGAAATGTATGCAGCAGGGATTGCATCTGACACATAACAAGGTCGAACGTCACGCGAATATAAGGACTACGCGAACATAAGGATAATATATGTAATTGGGAGGAAATCTATTCCGAACAGGAGTGGTATTGTGAAATATTGCTGCATTTGACAGTACGTAGATAGGGTGAATTTGTATTGTAATTAAGATATAGACCAGCTGAAAAATTTTAACAAATAGATGGAGAAATATGTTTCAAAATGAATCGATTGATGTTGCCGTTACTATTTGGTAGGAGATCATCTTGAAAAACTAATATCCTTATAGGCAAAACTGTGATAATCCCCTTCACCAGGAGGAGAAAATTGGACGATATAACGCCACTTTCCCTCAATAGTGAGATCATTCCATTTGAAATGGAGCTGAAATATCTTGGCATTGTCCTTGATAAAAAACTCACCTGGAACGCTCACTTGGAAAATTTTATACACAAAGTGACACTGCCCCTATGTACATGCGAAGGATTTGTGGTGGAACTTGGGGTTTAGGTCACAAACAAATCCATTGGATTCATGTGGTGATTGTCAGACCAGTGATCACTTATGGTGCAATTGCTTGGTATCCGAAGGCTTTACAGAAAAGCTCAGAGAAAGCTCTCTGGCTTACAGAGACAGGCTTGTCTGGCCATCAGTAGTGCCATTAGTACCACATCGTCAGTAGCCATGGAGATCCTTCTAGATCTACCTCCTCCCCACATTTTTCTGGAGAGTGAGGGTAGACTTGTACACATTGCCAATTGCACAAATCAATTTGATGCAGAGTGCAACAGACTGTTGGTTGACACTGGAGGTCGCAGCATTCTGGAAATGATCTCTGACGTCATGCCTCCAACTGTCAAATACCAACTGCTTTAGGAAGTACTGTTCCAGACTAGAGAGGACTGAATCCTCCGGGAGAAGGAAATATTAAGAGCAGATGGTTGTTGGTTCACAGAGGGATCGAAAACACCTTCCGGTTCCGGTGCAGGTGTTCTTAGTCGTAGACCCAGGACAGAGGTATCAACCTGCCTAGGAACCTATGCTACTTGTGTGCGGATAGATTGGAGGAATCCAACCTCATACACAAGTCAATAAACATATTCTCGGACAGTCAAGTGACGAAGGAAACTCGTGGCTCCTCTCGAACAACGTCTAAATTGGTAGAAAATTGTTGAATACGACTCTCCCCAATAGAAAGACCTTAAAGATTGTCTCTGGTTTGGATTCCTGGTCATACTGGCCTGAAACGCATTGATGCTGCTGACTCTTTTGCAAAGGAGGGTGCTTCAAGGGCCTATAGGCATCGCTATAGGCTTTTCCAAATAAAGATTTAACACCTGGATAGCAAGAAGGACTTCCGGTAGAATATTCCAGGATTGGCTACCAGGGCGTTCATTCACCCTCCGAAGCTTGATACCAAACAGTTATTAGACTACATTAGGGATGAACTACGATGTCTAACAGACTTTCTTACAGGTTACTGTAATTTGAATCATCATATGCAGAGACTTGGACTGTCGGAAGATAGTGTGTGTCGCCTCTGTTTGGAAAATGATGAAACAGCACAGCAAATACTTTGAGCCTGCCCCGCTGGGGACTGAATCAGATCTATAGAGTCCGGCAGAGCCGTACTCTTACCATTTGACATGAAAAACCACTCACCATACAACTTAATCGGCTTTGTTAAGAAGTTGGGTTTATATTTGGTCGAGTGTGAGCCACAATAAACCTATAAACCCTTGCGGGTTGCGGTGGAGGGTCGAATAGACCCACTCACTTCGTACCTAACCTTACCTAACTTATAAGACGTGACTGCAGTAAATTTAGTTAGGAATGAAAGTGGTGAAAAACAAAAATTTTCATTTCTAATTTTTCATGTTTCAAAATAATCCTCAGTTTTATTTCAGTTTCGAAGAAAGGAATGAAACTTACTTTTTGAAGTTGAATAAATATAATACAAAAACTCCTTCAACAAAACGGAACTATATCATCGTTAGATAATGCAACTATAGTTATAGATTCAGTTAAATCTTCTTCTTGAAGATGATCACTTGGTGATCGAAACACGTGTCGAAGTGTTGAAATAACGTCTGTTGACCACCGCAAGGTGGTTTACTTAAACCACTGCAAGGTAAAACATAATTTTTTGTGAAAAACTCAAGGCATTTCGTTGAACTACTAGGGGAAATCGAAGTCAAAGAGCAGGATCAACTGATCAGTTTCGACGTGAAAAGCTTTTACATCAACGTACTTGTGGAAGAAGCAATTCAAATCCTACAGAAGAAGTAGCAGTAAACGACACCTTTATAATATGGAACCATGGGAATGCAGAACTAGATACTTTCCTGAAGCACATCAACAACGTAAGTCCTTCCATCACTTTCACATTGGAGAAGGAAGTCCACAACAAATTGCTTTTCTTAGACGTATTGGTGCAGAGGGCCGACACTAAATGGGAAACATCTGTATATCGAAAACCCACTCACACAGGACAGTATCTGAACCAGAAATCCAACCACCATCAATCGACTAAGAGAGGAATCATCAAGAGTCTACTAAACCGTGCTTTCGGGCTCTGTTATACAAAGGAAGGTCTCGAAAAAGAACTAGACATCATCAAAAATGACCTTCAATGGAATGTTTATTCCAGAGTGATGGTAGAACAGGCTTTACCTAGAAGACAGCAAGAGCCCCACATGGAAGAGAAGCCGCCACAACCAGTACTTGTACTTCCCTACATCAGATGATTATGGGAAACGATAAGAAGGATTGGGCATCAGCACCTGCTTCAGATCTGGGAACACTATCCGTAGCAGCCTCACAAAAATCAGGCAACCAAACGCGGACTACGATTCCAAGAATTGCTTTTACCGGATACTCTGCGAGTGCGGAGAATCATACATCGGTGAAACTAAGAGGACATTGAAAGTTCGCATTGCTGAGCACAAGAAACATACACAGGGAGTAGAAACCAGCAAATCCAGAATAGCAGACCAAGTTTGGACTCATCAACATGACATCAAGTGGGCTCAAGCTGAAATCATCCACAGAGAGGAACACTGGCTGAGGAAAAAATTCAAAGAAGCCGCCTATATGTTGTCCAACAACGCATTTAGTCAAGCTAGCGTAGAGATACGTAACATTTTTAATAAAATTGTTATTTTTGGTCAATTTTTTTAATTTTTTCAGTGATTTCAAATCAATTCATATTATATTAGACAATGGAAGTCCAAACTGATGGAATATACAAGTGAATAATATCTGAGGAGAACAACGTTGAACGGAACAGAAATATTTTCTGGTAAAAATAAAAATCCACCCCATTTTTTGAACAGAGTGGTACGAGTATTATACTAATGAGTACATTCCCTACTATGAGTACTCATAACTTATTTTTTCATTCACCTTCAGTGGAGTTCAGAACGTGAACGTTGACATAAGCTGGGATCGCCTTGGAAGGATAACAAGTGTAGTTTCCATTATGACTGGTATCAGCTTCCTGCAACTGGAGTACGCTGGAAGATTTGTCAGCTGTTACGCTTACTCCGGTGTCATGGTTGATCATCCTTTGTTCATGGTACCAGAAGACGTAGCTCGGAGGCTCAGTGGAGTGCTTTAAGGTGCATACCAGGCGCAGTAAAGAACCCGCCCTGATGTGTATGTCGGGAGATCCAATTATTTCCGCTATCGCCTCTGAAACAAAAAAAAACATATTTGAAACTATTGTAATTTATGTGGATTTACGTTTCATTACCATTACGATAGTAAAGTAATGCATACAAATTAAAAATGTTCACAAAACTAATTGAGGTGGTAAACATTATGGAGAAAGATAACTTTTGGCTGAAAAAATACAATATTCTGATGAGCACGAACAAGAGCCTGTGTATTTAGTAAGATTTTTTTGTAAAAAGTCTTTCAAAAAGTATTAGATTCATTCAAAGAAATACAACATAATGATGCTTTGCCATGTTTCACTTCAAATAACTGATATAAGTCATCTGTTTTTACTGGAAAATAAAATAAAAATTATAACTATATGAAAACAAAGTCAATACATTTGAAACAGAGAAAACTGAAGTTTGCTACATCTCTAAAATACACATACAAATAAATCCGTTTTTTATACTAGTTTCAAGGAATTGGTGAAACACGGTGAATTATAAAAAAATTGCTATATGGGGTATGCCAAAAGAATATTTTCAATCATTGTAACCACCAAACTTCTGTTATTTTCAGATTTTCTAGTATCTACAATGAATATTATATAAAACAGTGAACTCTGCATCATTATAAAAAATATCCAGATAAATCGTATTGTTTTTTAATTGGTATGACTCATATTGAAAAATTTTAGGATGGAACAGTAGCCATTATTTTTGTTTGAAGGTGGTTGACAATGTTTCGTGATGCATTTCATCAATTCAAACTTCCATTGTCTAATATGATATAAATGTTCAACCTTGATTTTCATATATTATTCCACACCTCTCTTCCTCCCTTACAGTTTTCAATCCTACTAATAATCCTTCTCCTCTGAAATTGTTGAGTTAACGCATGATATTCTCATTGGAATCGATAGTTACTCATTGTTTGAACTACACAATTTTCTTCTCAGCCTATTCTTTTCACATAATTGGTTGTTTTTCTTTTATCTGTGATGAAAACTGTTGCTTTTTTTTTGCTTCTTTCTTCTAGTTTTTGTAGAAACTATGATTGATAGAAACTTAAAACTTGATCTTGAAAAGTATTTGCCAAATAGACTTCTTTTCAAATTTCTAATGACACACATTTTAAAACGTTCATATATTAAAATCGTCTGTCTATATTTCTATTTGAAATGTACTTGGATTGATTACTGCCAGAAGAAAATAACTGTGGCAAAGATATTTTTCGGGTTTTTTGGTGAAGACCTGCAGGTTTTTGATCTTGACGTTTCATCCACTACCTCGGTGGACATTATCAAAGGCGATCAGGTATTGAAAAAAGTGTTTTCGTCCTCTGGGCATATATTACTCTGTTCAGTATGTGTTTCTGCTTTCATTATATCGGTGGTAAGCGTGGCTTCATGCCTATTACCAGGGTTAAATATTCTTAATTTGTGTACGGTTCAGAGTAGGTAGCCAGATTTTATTGATGTTTATGCCTTCTTCAATCAAATCATCTTATACAGACATGATTCTCAGCTCAAAGTATTATAATTCAATAGTATGCTACATAGACTATTGGATATTCCTGTTTCAGGAAACAATTTTTGAAAAAAACTAAATTTCAATAAATAAATTGCTGTCAACAACAGTTACGGGATAGAAACTATTGACTGTATTTTTTTCAATAAACTACAAAAACAAGCTGTTCCATTAACCTACTTTGGTGAATCCACCTGTTTTTTGAGAAAGATTCGGACTCAATATACAGAACTGTTAATAGCTTCAAGACATGTATTATTAACGACAACGACAAAGTTCAAGGTTGATTAGATGAAAAGTAAGAGTATATGTGTTGAGTATAGAAATAGTTTTTTTTAAACATGCTTTTGGCAGAGGGATATGAGTTCAATCATGTCTGTTACCCTCACATATAAAGGAGATAAAATTCAAAACTCAATCTATTGAAACTCGCAGAAGTCAAATATTTGAATTTCCGTAACATTCAGTCAATAACTGAACAGAATTCAATTATTTTCCTGTGTTGAATTTATATCCAAACTTTGCTTGTTTCGCAGCAAATGTTAAGTTGATATTCTGTTCTTGACTATTCAATTATGTATCGAAAGAAAGATCTTTAGTATTGCCCTTTCAATGATAGTGGCGGTAAGAGATGTAAAACCGTTACTATGATAATTATTTGATAAAGGTAAACTTCAGTATGTCCACAAAAAATCATGCATATTCGACGTTTGAGGGCATTCGATTATCGAATTTGTATTAAATTATTTTTTGACAGGAATATGAACCTTTATGTCCATATTATGTCCAAATGTGTCCAGCTCAAAATAATGTTTATATCCATACTTAGTACCATTCAATACATTACTATATTTTTAATTCTTCATACTCTGTTCAAATATGTCCACTTTGAATTTATATTATTACCTATATCTAGTACTTATTCCAATGGATTGATTGGTTTTATTCAATTATATTCTGTTCAAATGTAGCTATTTTAACTTTATATCTCAGTACTTAATTTAATGCATGAATCTCATTCAATGTCAGATTCAGTATTCTCATTTCTTACACACAGGCAGATCATTTCGCCTCGCCATGTATTTTATTTGTTCACTGTTCATTTCCATATGTACATGTATATTTACTGTAAACAATCTTAAGAACGTGAATAAATACATATTATTATACTTATATATCATTTCGTTACGAATATCTCCAGGAACAAACAAGTACTATTTGGCTCTCCAAATATATTTCAGTTACAAGAATATCAATACTGCATATATTTCTGGAAATTCATAGAACTGGAAAAGTTTCTGGTTTATTTTCAGGATTATCAAATTATTATTCGTTCTTTGAAACCCTCTTCTCTTTCTATCAAACCTGAATTGAAAATCTTTTATAGATCAGAAAATATAAATAGAGTCTTTACTCTTTTGCATAGTACAATAAATTTCTCCTTGGTCGTTCGTAAATAATGAAAAAGGAATAGACTCAGGGTTCAATCGTTTCTCATACGTAGGTGTACAAAACCTTTGAAGTACTGCTCAACAGACCGTCTGATATTCAAACACCTTTCAGATTTACTGTCTGGATTTTATGTTAAGCTCCAACGGAGAATGTAAATATTTCTCGAGAGATGAGGGCGAGTATATAGTCATTAGTTAATGGAACGTTTTCTGAAACATAGGAGCTAGTAGGATTGTTTTTTACGATTTCACGTTTTTTTTATCGAAGGATTTTTCCTATACCTACAATGGGCTTTATTTAACAAAAAATTTTTGTTTGAAATGAAATCGCAATCTACTGAATTGACACTTCAAATATTTTGCGTAGAGCCAGAAGTAGTTTCTAAAGAAGAGTTTTCACCATAGCCACTATAATATACAGGGTGTTTTTCACAATGTTTTTCTGGCAGTTTCTCTTCATTTATAAAAATAGATAAACGACCAAGAAATAATTGTGAAGTGAATCAAAAGAGCCAATATAAAATGTAGAGGTAAGGCTTCTAGGCACTCTGAATTTGGCAATGAGTAGATCACTATGTTTTCCATAAGTGAAGACAATTTGTGCAAAAGATTGAACGTTTCTATAGTGAGAATACAGAGATCTGGCATCTACAAATAAATTAACGTGATAGTGGAAAAGCATATTTTCAAATTGATCTCACCCACAAGCCACACATACCTCATAGCGGCACAAAAATATTTCATACAAGTATCTCAAAAAACTACCAGTGTGAGCCCGAAACAGCCATTTCCAACTGAATTCCATGAAATTATTGCATCTTTGTAACATTAGGTCGAGTATAATAAATTCCACCTGTCACAAAAAAAAATAGAGGGATTAGATCTGGTCAGTACACAGGCTACTGTATTGTATCTCTTCCACCCATTCATTGGAGCCCATAAGTATTCAAATGCCTCGTGACAATTTTGAAATTGTTTGGAATAGTAACATCGTTGTGTCATCACAAGGTTCTCCATCACTCCAATGAAATATCTTCTAGCAGTTCGAGTGAGTTCTATTGTTGAAGCTCCAGGTACCGTGAGCTTATCAAAATTTCAAAGCAAATGTGGTTCAATTATGCATGCCCCCATTGAGTAAGCAACAATACAAATTCATGCCTCATAACTCCTGTTGTCGATGAAGAGTACTTCAACTAACTCTCATCTGCGAGTGTTTGCAAAGAAAATGTTAGGTAAGCAACGAAATCAATATATTTCAATGGATTAGATGTTCACATTTTCGTCCTTCTACAACAAACGTTCCATCGGGAGTTCCTATCAGGGCAACGCAAAATGTAAGCATATTCATCAGGCATGAAAATGACCAACACACTCTCTTTTTTCCATGAACACTTCGCCAATGAAATGTCACCTATTTCTCCACCAATTGATTTCTATTGAAAACGGAACGACTCCTTCCTATAGGTTCTTTCATCAGACGCTTCATATCTTTACATTTGAATAAAACAAAGTGAGTATCAATTTTTTTTTCTTTCTGAAGACCTACTGATGCCATTATATATGGAATATAAAATCGTTCAAATGTTCGCCACGGCTTTTCTGGGTGAAGCGCATCTGAAACGTTCAATTTTTTGTGACTCTGGCACATAAATCAGGCCGAACTTGACCGATGGCATGGGTTATGTTCAAGTTGAAAATCGCTGTGGTTTGTGGTTTATTCGCATTTACCTGAGATTCAGGAAATCAACACAAGAAAAAGTCTAACAGAGTCAAAGCGCACGATCTCAGTGGCCAGTTGACATCACCTCCACATGGGATGACCATGCCCCTAAATCGCTCGTGCAGAATATACAATGTGGCCTGAGCTATGTGACAAGTAATGATGTCCACATCTCCACATTTTTAACACACTACTTTGTAAACATCATCTTTCAATATAATTAACAACCATTAAAAATGTCTGTTTCACTGACAGCTGTACAAAAACACTTTTTCCAGGCACTTCCGTCAAATATGGATAGAAAAGCCTATTATTCTGATCAAACACTCCGTG